AGGAGATATATTTAGTCCATAATAGATGGACTGTTTAAGGTGAATATTAAATGTACATGTAAAATCTTCTGATAGCTTAGTCAATGTTAATGTTTTAGGAATTGTGCCCACTGTTTCTTCTTTATTCTTTTATAGTATTAATCGTGTCCTTATGTGTCCTGTGTATGGGTCTTGGCCTAGCCCAAGGGGAAGTTTCATTGCATTTGGATTTTGCTATTTTATTTGACAGTTTTTACTTTAATGCTGCATTCAGTGTGCTGATGGTTTTATTGTGCATGATCCTCATTCTCTGCATAGTGGGCAGCAGTTTTATGCCCGTGTAACACTGTATTCATTCATTAAATGGTTGCGTAAGGCCCACTATGTGAGGGTCTGCTGCCCACTATGTGAGGGTCACTGGGCTGCTTGTCGGACTACAACCTTGCATCAGAATGGGGAACATTCTGTCTACCTAGCAGAACCGCACAAAAAAAAGATGATCCCTATTGAGTAGAGTTAGGGGCAGGGAAGGCCAGTCTCTCTCCAATAAAAGCTGATGCAGCAGAGAAGGTTTGTTATGTTGTCATCTAGAACCAACTATGGACATTGTTTTCCAGTGCTTTCTAGCCTGGAAGTTTCTATTAATAAGCTTCACCTGGCGATCTCTTGCTTTGGGAAGCCTTTGCTTACTTAGGGCTGTCAGTCTGGTGCTCAACCAGAGGGCAGTCCTCTGAGGTGGGGACCATTTTAAAGCTCCATATTATCTCTACAGTTGCTTTTCTCTTTTGTTCTTCAGGTCATGGGGTGGGAGGAAGAGCCGCCAAATGGAGCTAGATGGACAGACCTTTCCATGCTGACAATTAGATTGCAAATTGACATGTAATTTGAGCAGGGATGCCAGAGGCTGTCACTAGGTCTGAAGGGAGAGAACTGAGCAGAACAGAGCAGCATGAGCTTTCAAGTCGGACCTGGGTTTGGATCCTAGTTCTGCCACTTACTATTTGTGTGGCCACAGGCACGTAACTGAGCCTCACTTTTCTTATCTGGGAAACAGGAATAATAATTGGCTAGTGGGGATAAATAGCCTACTTCACAAGGCTGTTAGGAATCCATAGGGGATTTTGGGGGTACAGAATCCCTTCAAAAGCCTGTAGAATGCAGCCCAGGGAGGCTTGCTGTTCTGCAAAATTAAGCAAAGTAAATTGGTAACTCTGGGTTTACTTAGCTAGTGATTAAATCACAGTTTAGTTAATAGACCATGAATGGTCCCCAGGTGTTGGTAATTCTGAGTATTTGCTTTTGAGAGCCATTGTATAATTTCTTCTGGTACTTTAATAAAGTTTTTTAAACAGAAAATATTGTGTAACAAATGATGCCTCAGGGGCTATTTTGGGGAGGATTAAATGATGTAGTGCATATTAGGCACTTAGTATAGTGTCTGACCCACAGTAAGGGTCTCAATAAAGTTATCTGCTATTGTTATTTCTATTATTGGAGTTTCAACCGCCTACATTTAGGGCAAGATCTTTTGTTCTATAAACTCCCCATGAGCCTGCTACCACCTGGTGGAAGCTAGTGGTACTGAGCACAGTATGAGGAAGAATTATTAAATTGCTTGGAATTAATTCCATGTAATTTCAATTCCACCAGATATCACAGGGACTTTGTTCAGAATGTGATTTGTTTGCCTGAGAGCTAGAATTCATCTGTCATTAAACAATGAAGTTACATTGTTTTCAACTACACAGTTGGCATAGAATAAAAGAAAATGTTCATAGCAAGTGAATCAAGTAAGGAACTGACAGGCTCATATTCTAATAGTAGGAGTGTAAACTGGCACACAATTTCTGGAAGACAGATGGTAATGCAACAAAAATCTTGTGTTTTCATCCTTTGTGGCAACCAGTGTAGCCTCTGTACGCACTTGTGCTGTAGGGTTTGAAAAAGCACTCCTGCATGACTGCCCTAAGATAATGGCCCACATCACGAGGCAGCCAGGGACACCTAGGTAGCCATTGATGCATTGCGTGGCCATGGTCTGAGGTGGTCTTGGTCTCAGAAATTACACCAAATACCTGCACAAGAACTCCTCTCTGTACATGTGGCCAACACATTCCCTCTGTTCCCCTTAAAAAATAATTACCGAGCTCTTATATGCATAAATAAATAAATTAAAAAAAGAATAAATATACAGTCCAAAAAACATTAAAAAAAATTGATTACCCTTTGGCTCCCCATAAAGAAAAATAATATATAATAGCATTATTCATTTGTGAATCAGGTTTATTCATACAGTAATGATCCTTACAAAGTGGGGGAGCTTAGAGGATGGTAGGCATACTGACATCTCTTGAGGCAGAGTTAGGACAGGGGATTGGATCAGAAGTCTGCTCTGGATCTCTAGAATATGTAGTTTAAGAACACTCAGCATGCCTATTAATTTTATGATAAAAACTATAGAAAGTAAAGTTTGATGTAGGCAGTCGACAGATGGAAACAATACAGAAATATTTAGGGGATGTGTGATAATAAGTGTTAGTTTGGGGAATTTTGATTTATAGGAAATAGGAGTATTGATGAAAGTGAAAAATTAATTTTGGATCTCTGGGGGAAAATAGGCCTGGATTGGGTCATAGGAGCATTAGAGCAACATGATTTTTTAGCACAGAAATGGGAATTTAGTGGCTAGAAACAGAACCCCCAAGGATAAATTCTTCTCATTTAGCTTTACCCAAGACCTGAGGGTCAAGCCACCTTTGATGGGTTTATAAATCTTTCCATCTCTGCTATTGCTGTACTCACAGTGTTAGGGGGAAAGGATGTCCTGAACAAGCTCCACAAATAGGTTTTATGGTCTCCACTCACCCCCACTCCCGACCAGACTAGTTGAACTTGCAGAAGCTGAGAACAGAACGGTGATTATGAGGAACTGGGGGTGGAAAAAATGGGGAAATGTTAGGAAAAGGGTACAGAGTTGCAGTTCCATAAATGATAAGTGCGGAGTTCTCATGTATAGGCATGTTGACTGCAGCTAATAGTACATAATGCAATACTGGACTTAAGCTAAGAAGGTAGATTTCAAGTGCTCTCATTACTAAAAAGGAGTGAAGTGAGGATATGATCATTAGCTTGCATATAGTAATCATTCACTATGTATATCAAATCAAATATATGTAGGGCCTCCCTGGTGGCGCAGGGGTTAGGACGCAACCTATGAGGCAATCTGCAGCCACTGCAGCATGAGTTCTATCCCCTGCCAGCAAGGGGCGGGACGGACCTCTCCTATCTTGCCCGCTGCTCCCCTCAGCAGTGTACTTCGGTCTGTCTGCCTGTTCTGTTCCCCGCTCTGTCTCTGGTGAAACCTCTCACCCTGCCCCCGCATCTCTGGCCTGTACCCCAGTTCTTGTATAAACATAAATAAATCTTTTTAAAAAACCAAATCAAATATATGTATATTAAATCCGTGTAATTTTCATTACTAAAAACATATAAGTATGTAGATTTTATAATAATGGAAAAATGTAGGGTTTCAAAAGTTTAAGTAATAACTAAATTGATAACTTCTTAAATATGTAAACAAAGACTTGAAAGGAATTTGTATAAGAAGAACAGCTATTATTAGGTGTGTTAAAAAATAATAGTAATAGGGGCCTCCCCTGGTGGTGCAGGCGGTTGAGCGCAGCGCTGTGAAGCTGTCCGTAGCCTCTGCAACACCGGTTTGATACCCGCCAACCTGCAAGGGTCCCACATGGTGCGGCAGACCTCTCCTGTCTCACCCGCTGCTCCCCTCAGCAGTGTATTTCGTCAGTCTGCCTGTTCTGTTCCCCACTCTGTCTCTGGTGAATCCTCTCACCCTCTCGCGAATCTGGCCTGTACCCCGGATCTTGTATAAATAAATAAATAAATCTTTAAAAAAAATAGTAATACCAGATAATTAGGACAGTCCAGGCTCTTGACTTCTCAAGTTGCCATCTTTGCGATTTTTGGCAGCTTACTTCACCGTGCCAGCCCTTAGTTCCTTCAGTGGAGAAGAGGGCACTGGACTCCATCTGTAAGTGCCAGGCGCTTTCCCCTCTGACCTGAAGGCATATAAATTATTTATGTGGGATTGTGTACTTTAAAAAGTGGCTCTTAGACTGAAGGGATCACAGATTCTAAACACCTCCCTCCCCCCCTTTTTTCAAAGATTTATTTATTTATTTATTTATACAAGCACTGGGTACAGTCAGAAGCACGGGAGGGTGAGAGAATTCACCAGAGTCAGAGTGGAAAGCAGAGCAGGCAGAGTGACAAAGTACATTGCTGAGGGGAGCAGCAGGCAGCAGGAGAGGTCTGCGAGCCATGTGGGACCCTCACCGGGCGGCCGGGGATCGAACCGGTGCTGCAGAGGCTATGGGGCAGCTTCGCAGCCCAGCGCTCAACCACTGTGCCACCGGGGAGACCCTCCCCCCTTTTTTTAAGATGAAGAAATTGACGGCCCTCTAGAAGCCTGGATGGATCCAAGGTCATAGACATAGTGGTGGAATGTCAGATGTTTGGGGTGACTTCTTGATGATTCTGAAACTTTGATGATGATGACTAAGTGATGATTATCATATTATATTTGGTTACACAGTGGCTTCTCATGTCTTCAGTTGTGACAAAACATTGAGAAAGCTGTTTATTTCAACAGCTGCCCAACATTATGAATTTGGAAAATTATCAGTTCCCTCACATTACGCAGAAATAAATTAACAATTAGAGTTCCGGATAAATGTTCAGCTTTTCTTCCTTTTTTTACTGTTGTATACCAGATATTCACAGAACTGCCACGTCCTGCAACCGAGGGTCTACTGTGAAGTAAAATTCCATTTTAGTAAACGTCTGAATGTTTTCCCGAGACTGGCACAATTTCACATTAACGGGAAAGACAGTGCTGTATTTCAGACAAGGGAACCAAGTCAGGGATTATGCTGAATATGTGATTTACTGACATTTTATTGCTGGAATTAGTAAACACTGTCTCAAACTTCCTCTTGCAGGCTAGCTAACGGCCAGGACAAACACAGTGGAAAATGCAAAACAACGAAATTATAAAACCTGCCAAATACTTCTCAGAATTGGAAAAGAGTATCCTGCTTGCTTTAGTAGAAAAGTACAAGTATGTGCTGGAATGTAAGAAAAGTGATGCCCGAACTATTGCCCTCAAGCAGCGCACCTGGCAGGCGCTGGCCCACGAGTACAACTCTCAGCCCAGCGTGTCGCTGCGGGATTTCAAACAGCTGAAGAAGTGCTGGGAGAACATCAAGGCTCGGACCAAAAAAATTATGGCCCATGAAAGGAGAGAGAAAGTGAAACGGAGCGTCAGCCCCCTCCTGAGCACCCACGTGCTGGGGAAGGAGAAGATCTCCAGCATGCTGCCCGAGCAGCTCTACTTCCTCCAGAGCCCCCCAGAAGAGGAGCCCGAGTTCCATCCGGACCCTGCGGCCCAAGGTATCGTCCCAGAGGCCAGTTTGCATGTTCTCACTGGGCGCCTGTTTGACACTTTTTTTTTTAAGATTTATTTTTATTTTTATACAAGAACTGGGGTACAGGCCAGAGGTACGGGAGGGTGAGAGGATTCACCAGAGGCAGAGCGGGGAACAGAACAGGCAGACTGAAATACATTGCTGAGGGGAGCAGCGGGTGACACAGGAGAGGTCTGCCGCGCCATGTGAAAATCGCCCTGGCCGGCCGGGAATCGAACCCACACTGCAGAGGCTGAGGACAGCTTACAGCGCAGCGCTCAACCCGCTGTGCCACCAGGAAGGCCCATGTTTGACACTTTTAAGTTTAAAATCCTTCATTTTGAGGAAATTTATCAGAAAAAGCAGACTTTAGATCAAACTTGACTTTCTCAATTCAAAATTTTGGGATTATGTAGGCCATTCAAGTCATATATGATAGACGACAAAAACAAAAGTTCTTGTTTATATGCTTGTGCTTTCGCTCTGAGAAAGATCTCTTTTATCTCTGTTATTACTTTAGAATAAGGGAAAAGTATGGACTGCATTCATGTAGTTATTAATCAAGTACCTTGGTGGCTTATCTCAACATATTGCAAATATATTTGAAAGACTTTGTATATGCATTCATTTAATCTTATTTTTTTCAAAAAATTTATTGTGGGGATATATAATGTGCAAAGCACTGCATTAAGTCTCTCAAAAGACCACATTAAAATAGTGAACTATTTCAAACTTGGAAAAAAAAGACAGAGACTGATACAGCAAACACCCATTTGGCATTCACCCAGATTCAAAGCCCTACATTCCTACCCATTAGACTATTGTGATCTCCAGTTTTGTTTTGTGGCACTCCAGAGAACTTGAGAAATTCTGGGGGAAAATTTCATTTTAATTTAATATTCTTCCACTGAAAAGGGGAAAATGTCATAATTCTTTGGGGAGGAGAAGACTGTCATAATCATGGATGAAATCGTATTATACTTAGTATAAATAGCTTTAAAAGACTGGAATTGGGGAATCACTAAAATGCCTCCAGGTAAGGGGAGGGTGAGAATCTATATAGATGAATTGCCAGAAATTCCTGCCTCTTTTAAGATAGGAATGGCCAGCTTATATAAAGATCCATTCCCATTTGCAGAAGATACACCTTGAAACAGAGGAAGATCCTGCTGAGGTTAGAGGGCTGCTCAGAAGTTGCTCCAGGGACCCAGCAAGCATTTGCCTAGGAAAAGCTGGTTCTTGGTTTGCAGGATGACAAATTCACTGATTAGTGTCCCCAGAGTAGATTGAGCTCTGAGGGACTGCTTAATTAAAAGTTACAAGAAACCATCCAAAACCAAGAACATTATCCAATGTAGACTGTAAAGATAATTACCAATGCATTGAATACACATTTTTTTTTTAAAGATTTATTTATTTATTTATACAAGCACTGGGTACAGTCAGAAGCGCGGGAGGGTGAGAGAATTCACCAGAGCCAGAGCGGGGAGCAGAGCAGGCAGAAGGACCAAAGCACACTGCTGAGGGGAGCAGCGGGAGGCAGGAGAGGTCTGCGCGCCATGTGGGACCCTCCTCTGGAGACCGGGGAGCAGCCGGGGATCGAACCGGCGCTGCATAGGCTGTGGGCAGCTTCGCAACCCAGCGCTCAACTGCTGCGCCACTGGGGAGGCCCTGAATACACATTTTTGATTAGTACTTTTTTTTTTCCTATAAGCACATCATCCTGGAGGTTAAATTATGATTAGTTTGCTTGCTGAGCATCTGACCCAAGGTTCAGTCCAGGGCAGCCGCTGTGGATTTGGCAGCCGCTGTGGATAATGTTATGAATCTCACGGATTGTTTTTTCTGCATCAGAACCCTGTGTTTGAGTTTTGATTCTTGAGTTCCCAAACCCGGGTACCTCCCAGCAGATAGTGTTTATATGGACACTGCCAGCTGTCTTTCCCCTCCTCGTTGCTGCTTCTGTGTGGAGGGGGCCCACTGATAATTGACAGTGTCCTTGGTTTGGAGATGTTTATAGCTTCAGCCAGTTACTCTCTATCTTGCTGGCCTTGGACCCATTCTTTACCTGAAGCAGCAAAGACAATAGTGCTGGGAAGGAAGGCATGTCAATCAACAGGGCTGCTTTTCAGAATGCTTCTGTTCTTGGGAGATTTTTCCAAGGAAGATGCTGGAGTGGACTGCTTTTAGTGTGTTTTGCAAATCCTTGATTGTATTATTTTGTACTGATTTCATAGGGTTATTCTTAGTGGACAGACAGTCTTATTTCCCCACTTAAAAATTCTTAGGTATGATCTAGCAGGCTCATTCCACAATTTATTTTCTCCTTTTCGGAAAATACCATGTAATTTATTTACTCCTAAACACAATTTATAAATTTCCAGCAAAAAATAAATGTGTGTTTTCTCAGTGCCTTACCTGTTGTGACATTTGCTAGAGGCTCACCTGTAAAAGAGATTTATTTTGAATTGACGTTTGGTCCATAGAGGACATGCGAGACTTCCCTTTTTGCTGGTGATTACTGAAGTACAACCAAATACTTGTTGCTGTTTCCAGGTCAAATGGGGTGGAGGGGTAGGCAGTGGAGAACCATGGAGCTCAGTCAATTGGGAAGTATATGGAAAGTAATTTGTTAACACTAGTAAGTTAACATGTTGTTAACTTAGAGTTACCTTACTCCATTGCCCATCTGGAAGAACACCCCCTTGACTATGTTCTCAGATCCCCAGAATCCGTTTAGGCTGCCCTGGAGCTGTTTGCCACTTCAGGTGACTTTGTTTTATCTGGGAGAGAGATTATAGTACCTTTCCTAGGGCTCTTTCTAGACAGTGAAACAGCTTTGAGATTACCTTACTCATTTTGTATTTCAATTTACTTTCAAGAAAGAAAAAGAAAACTGGACATCCCTTCTGTATCTTGGTAGGGAAAAGGTTGAAAACCTGGTATAAGGGTATGGCCTTTATGCTGTCATGTGCGTTTTGACACGTGGTCTCCATATGAATGTTTTACTTCAGTTAGTATCTCAAGCAATGTGCTGGCCAGTCCAGTAGCCACCAGCCACAGGAGGTTGGTCAGCACTTGAGCTGTGGGGAGGCTGAATTGAGATGTGCTCTAAGTACACCGTATGTTGAAGACCAAGTGCCAAAAAAAAAAAGTAAAATATCTCACTAATATTTTTTATCTTGATTACATAAATTAATTTCACCTATTTCTATTGGACTGTCAGAAAAGTCATGACGTATTTTTTCTGTCTTTCAAGAAAAAAAATGTATCATGACTTTTCTGACAACCCAATATTTCTTTATTGTGGCTATAAGAAAATTTTAAATTATGTATAATAAATTTATTTGGACAGGAGCTATTTTAACACCTTACAGAGTGCCTTTTATAGAATTAGGTGCTCAGAGATTTGTTGGGATTTGTTAGAAGGGAGGGAATCTAGCAGTTTCCACTAGAGGCCTCCCTCCAGCTACTTTTTTTTGTGAGATGGTTTTAATTGTGCAATGTTGCTCGCCATCCCCTTGATATTGTTAGGTTTGGTAATGACTTTCTTAGGATTTACATCTACATTTGAACAAAGCAGTCTTAAAATTTAATACTTAGGAAATGCATTTGCAAAAAAACCCACAGTATTTCCCCTTAACTATATTAAAAAATTTATATGTGATAATTTGACTTTGACTCTTACCTTCAGTTATCTTTGGGGAACAAGTTTGCCCAATATACTTCAGAAAGCTAAGCTTTAAACTAGTAATCAAAAATCTTAAGAGAACATATATTTAATTTCATATCCTACTTACTATGAAGCTATAATTGAGTAACATAAACATGATTACAAACCTGTAATTAAATAACACAAACATTTCTTAATAAATTCTGTCGTCACTGGTGAACCAAACCTATTTATTTGAGGTGGGAACTTGTGTACACGGTGCTGAGTTATATTTCCAGTTAAGGCATGCTATCATCATTGGCCTATGAAAAGCCCATTTTTTGCATTACTTATATGTTTATCCCTTTTTTGTCCCCATTTTCCACTCCCCACTTACATTTTCTTCTCCTGCACCTTAATCCTTCTGTTGCACTTGTATAGTCTCCCACATGTTCTTGAAAGTATGTATTAGTGTATAGTATGCATATATTTTTAATTTACATAGTTTAAAATTGTGCTATAGTTACCGTTCCTTTTTTCATTTTGGCCTTTTCCTCACTGTAGGGGGCAGGAAGACCACAGTGCAGGTTTTCTATGATCCAGCAGACCAGGTAAAGGAGTCAGAGTCCTCAGTGGCTTTTGCAGGTTTTTTATTGGGATTTAGCCGGTACTTGGCAGGCAGGGGCGCTGGGGGGCCTCCCAGCCCCCAGCAAGTCTTCACTCTGGGCTCTCTGACCTTCTCTCACATTCTCTCTGCTCTTCTCATGGCTCTGCTTCTCTCTCGGCTTCTGCTGGCGTCCCCGTGATGCTGCGCCTCCAGCATTGTCACAGGGAAATGCAGTCCGTTACTTTTAGTCCCTCCAGGTCTTCGGAGGGCTCCATACCCATCTGCATGGATCATCTTGCCGACTTAAGCCAATTGTAGCGGCAGGAATGGACACAGGGCAGGTTTTCTATGATCCCATGCAGACGGGGTAAAGGAGGAATCAGAGTCCTCAGTGGTTTTGCAGGCTTTTATTGGGATTATCAGGTACACAGCAGGCAGAGGCGCTGGGGGGCTGGGAGGCAAGTCTTCACTCTTTTTGGGCTCTCCGGCCTTCTCTCAGCTTCTCTGCTCTCGGCTTCTTCTTTCTGCTTCTTTCTCGGCTTCTCTTCCATCTTCTACTGCCATCCCCGTGATGCCACCCTTAAAAGCACAGTCTCAGCCCAGGTGAATCCCATCTACCTATGCCCACACCCTACTCCAGGTGCCCGCCATCAGGCATGCATTCAGGACCGCAAGGATCCATCATCTATCCTGATGGCGGGAGGGCAGAAAAGCCTGATATTTTTCCTTACCCTACACCCACTTAGAATACTGTTTTAAAGATCTATTCCATTGGCAGTATATAAATCTGTTCTTTTAGTTGATGGACAATAGTCTATAGCATGCACTCACCACATCTTATTTAGCTCTTTTCCCAGTCAGTCTTGTTTTCTTCATTCTGTTGAGAATAGGTGGCGTTTGGCCTGTAGTTTCTGCCTCATTCTTTTATTGTAGGTTTTCCCTGCTGATATTAAACTTACTGCATTGCCCACGTGGAAGAATACCCCCTTGACTGTGTTCTCAGATTCCTGGAAGGCCTTTACACCATCCTATCCATATTGCATAAGATGGAGCTATTTTCTACTTTGGGTGGCTTTGTTTTACCTGGGAGAGAAATTACATGGTGTGTGTTTGTGGCAGGTTCCCACTCCCAGGGTAGTCTTTTCCAATTAAGAGAAGATTCTCCACATCTGAACACTAGCTTCCATTCACTGGAGCAAACATTTCTGTGAAAGTTAATTAACTACTCAATCGGGCTTCCCTGATATTAAATCCCAGCTTGTGCCAGAGTCTTGTTAAGAGGCTTGGCTTGTTCTTTCCCTTTTCTTTTTTTTTTTTTAACATTGTATGTTAGCATACATGTAAACTAAAAGAATAGTTTTTTTTTTAATTTATTTATTTATGCATAGAAGAGCTGGGGTATAGGCTAGAGATGTGGGGGGTGAGAGGATTCACCGGAGACAGAGTGGGGAACAGAACAGGCAGATTGACTGAAATGCACTGCTGAGGGGAGTAGCGGGTGAGCCAGAAGAGGTCTGCTGCGCCATGTGGGTTGCTCCCTGGCCGACTAGGGAATCGAACTCATGCTGCAGTGGCTGGGGCTTAACCCCTTGTACCACCAGGGAGGCCTCCCCTAAAAGAATAGTTTTAAAGTTGTTTCTTTGCTACCAGTCATGAGTATATGGTCTTCATGTTCACAGCTCTAGGGAGAAATTTGGAGATCAAAATTTGGAATATCTACCCAAATACTTAGTAATGGATGCCCTTGTAGGGAATACAAACAACTTAGAGGCTGCATTTTAAGATACAGAAGTCATCAGATGAGCAAGTAAAATAATGGGAGGCTGGGTGGTATAGAGGTTGAGCTTGGATTTTGGACTCATGAAGATCTGGATGAGAATCAGTAGTTGCATTTGGGTTTCTATAATCATACCTCCCTCGGAGGCTTTTTTGAAGGACTAAACGAGGTAATGCTGTGAGCACTAGCCTTGTGTACCATTTAGCTATTTGGAAAGTGGTGGCTGCTGCCCTCCTGCTCTTCTTCTTTGGTACCTTTAGCCTCCTCCTCCTTTTTTTCCTCTCCTCTTCATCATCATCATCATCATCATCATCATCATCATCATCGTCATCATGACGTTAACACCTAGAATGGTTGAGATGAAATGAACATTTAGAAATTGGGAGAAATGAATAAGGGTGTGAACTCAGGAGTATCAAGAACTACCTTCTGGAATGAAATAAAAGAGAAATGAGGCTAAAGGCACCAAATAATGTTTAATGTATCCAGTCCTCAAAGAAGACACTTTTAGGTCTAAGACAGAAAGGAAACAGATGAGTTAATCCTCTTTGGTTGATGCCCTGGGATGCTCACATCTGGGGGACCCTGTTCTCAGTGTTAAGCCTTTCTAGTTCTTGTGTCCTTTGCCTTTATTACCCACTCAGTTACATAGCTGAGCTGTGGTGGGAGGCATATAACCCACTGTAGCCAGAACATCCCCCATTTCTTACATGACCAGCAGTATGCCAGGCCCTCGGCTGATTTCTCCACGAGGATGAGTACGATGCAGTCTCTGTCTTCAGAACTGGCAGAGACCTGAAGGGGTTTGTTTGAACAAGTGCTCTGCTAGCGGTGGGCCCAGGAGGCAGTAAAAGCACAAGGCAAGGGCATCTCATTGAGGCCACAGCCATTTGAGTTGAGAAAGATTCCTAGGGACACATCTTCATTATCTCTGGATTGCCTCGAAGTTCTTTTTTAAACCTTTACCTTCAAACGTAAGATTTTTTTACCTTTTCCTTTAACTTTAATTAAAGACTAGCTATGGTTATTGCCTAATCCCTTAGAGTGAAATAATCTAAACAGTAGCCATTTTTCTTTTATTAACAGATTATTATGAGCTGGGTTTCCCCCAGTAGCCATTAACATTCCCAGCATCCCACCTTCTGGAATAATGGAGTTGGGTATGATAACGTAATCAACACTCTTAATAAATTGATATTATTTTCCTCCAAGGAGATCATTCTTGTTATTGGAAAATGTAAAGCTTCTCAAGAAAGTGCTGGAGTCATAGTTAGAGACTCCATGGGTTAGTGGAGTTCTTGTGGTTTCTTTATTGAAACTTCTTAGTACATACTCATGTCACTGCCCTGTAACTGCTAGTGCAAACCTGGTACCACCAAAAGTGATATCCCTTTGCATTCATATGTTCTTTTCCCCTTATGTTCAAGTCTTCTGTGAATAAATATATACAAGGCCAGTCAATAAAAATATACAAGGCATCTACTCTTGCATCAAACCAAATAGTTGGTACCCAAGGATAAAAGAAAAAAATAAGGCATGGTCCCTAAATAATACTAGTAGGTTTTGAGTGCTGTAACAGAGGAGTACAGTGAAAAGAGAGAACTGATGTTTCACTGAGCAGGTCTCACTGACCCTCAACAGAGTAGGAGCTAAGGGAGCAACTGAAATAGGGAGACTGGAGCAGTGTGTGTTTGAATGAGTGGGAATGTGGATAATTCATGGAAGACTGATGAGTGTACAGGGCTCTTTGAAGAGAAAGTCAAGAAATATGAAGGAAATTTGGAACCAGATCATGAGGGTTATTTAGGATGGATTGAAAGCAGAGCCAAAGGTAGGAACCCTAGAGGAAACTTAAAAGTCAAGAAGTGGGTGAGCAAGAATCTGCTTCCTTAAAGGAGGTTTGGCAAAGAGCAATCAGAGAGGAGGCCATAGAAAACTTAGTAGAAAATAATGGTTCAGAAACTAATAGAGGAAAGAGGTTTCAAGAAGGATTGTCAGGTGCTTGGGAGAGGTCAAATAAGAGTGACATTGGACAGTCCTTTGGGATCTGAGTTTTGAGCCCTAGATGGCAATGCTACTAGAGGCAACAACCAGATGTAGGGATTGAAGAGAAACCATGTGCTGAGGAAGGTGAGCCAGGAAGTACAGATTCATCATTCAAGGAAGAACATTTGTAAGAAGACGACCTGTGGCCACAGAGCAGTGGCGCTCTGAACTTGGGTTTCATAACTGAAAGAGAAACATAAAGGCAGATCAGAATGATGGAGACCTCAGTTTGAAAACCCACCATTAATTTTGTACTGTGGGCCCCTGCTCATCTGGTGCTGTGCACACTTCCATTTAGATCTTAGGTCAGGTCAAATCACGACGTCTCCAATCCTGACCACTGTTCCCTAGTTCTCATTTCTAGAAATGATGTGATGAAACCCTTTATCATGACTTCATAAGAGAAAACTGGATTTGTGGGTTTTTAAAAAGTCAGGTGTGGCTAAGGTATCTGTAGACACGCAGGCAAAGCAGACACTGTTTGAAATACATCCTGTAATGGGGGATCCTGTCATTTGAAATAGGATTGATTTTCTCTCTGCCTGTAAAATCTTTGAACATGTTTTCTGCTACTGTTTTTCAGAATCATTTGCTGTTTCAAATAGAGAACTGTGCGATGATGAGAAAGAGTTCATACATTTTCCAGTATGTGAGGGGACCTCTCAACCTGAACCCTCGTGTTCAGCTGTCAGAATAACAACCAATAAAAACTACAGGAGCAAAACCTCTCAGGAAGGTGCTTTAAAAAAGATGCATGAGGAAGAACACCATCAACAAATGTCCATCTTACAACTGCAGCTGATACAAATGAATGAGGTGCATGTGGCCAAAATCCAGCAGATAGAGCGAGAGTGTGAGATGGCAGAGGAGGAACACAGGATAAAAATGGAAGTTCTCAATAAAAAGAAGATGTATTGGGAAAGAAAACTGCAAACTTTTACCAAGGAATGGCCTGTTTCCTCATTTAACCGGCCCTTTCCCAATTCACCCTAAGACTTTGTGGGTGGTGCCCTTGTGATTAATCTGTGTTGGCAAAGAAAGTCTGGAACATGAACTCGCGGTCAGTAATTTGTAACTGAGCTACATCTAGGAAAATTAGAGTGGTAGTAGTCACTTATTTAAGAATACATTCAGGTAAACAGCTGCACCCTCTGTACCCTCCCTAAGTGGCAAAGAAGCTGTTAGCATCTTCTGAAAATTATCACTGAGTGCTATAATTCTGAATGTAATGTCTCTTAATTAGAATTCATACAAGAACCATGTGTGAGTGTTGTTGTTGTATTTTTTAAATCAAATGCAAGTGTGACTATAAAGGAGTGTGGCTGTTTGTGTTTTTTAACAGACAGCAGAACTTTTCTATCTAATGAATCCCTCTCCCACTGAAAGTAATTGTCCAGGTGGCCACACATTTCTCCTGGTGGAGCTGTTGCTCAGAACTTGCTAGTGATCTTCAGGTCACCTCTGTGAGAGCTACAACACATTTTTCATTTTTTAGTGTCATCTTGTGTGTGTGGATTTTCTGTTGTGAAACATCCCAACATTTGGAAGGATGTTTTCTATGTAGCCCATAAATGGCCTGTTAAGGCCCCTTCCCAAAGAGGAATTCCAAATGGTTTCTCCAACAATCCTAGCTTTGTTGGAACTAAGGATGTAACCACTTTGAGGAGAAAATATTCACTTAGATTTCTACATTCTGTCATGTTTGTTTTATTAAAAGAAAAGACTTGCAATTTTATAGTCACACTGTGTATGTTTTTTAAAGGTGCTTCCTCCCTCCTTCTTTTTCCCTCCCCATCCTCCCCCCCACCCATGCTCCACTCTTTGCCTTCTTTCTTGTTTCCTCTCAATTTGACCTACTGAGGTAATAGTTGCCCTCCTTTTTAATCTTTAGTCACCTCAGGAAAGGTCCTTCCCTCACCGTGCTCTTGGTGATAGTAATGCTGTGTAGTTTGCATTACACAGTTACCTTTAGGCTTTGTAAGAATCCATAACCAACATGTTTGGAAATAGGGATCAATAAATGATGGAACTGTGATAAACCTTCTCCTGTAGCCTAGTTTATAAAAACAGCCCTGGGAACTGGACACAGCAGTAAAGAAACAAAGTGACACTTTGGTGCCAACACAGGTCAGCAGTTTCTGAGAATTTCAAGGCCTTTTGTTGGGGAAGGGAGAGTGTGCGTGGTACAGGCCTATAAGGCACATTGCACTAGGGGTCCAGCCTGCATTCTGAGCTTGGCTCTGCCAAGAGGCACTGTGTGACCTTGGAAAACTGTTAGTTTTGGGCCATGGTGTTTCCTGTCTATAAAACAAGGAATTTGTTCTAGAGAATGTTCAGACTCTGCTACATCTCCTTGACTGTGGTGTGATCTACAGAGTGTTGGGTGTGTACTTCTAACTCATCATTGTCTGGAGGGCATGGGTCAACTGGAAGCAGTTGTTCATGGTGCTAGCTAAGCTTCCCTTCTGCATAGTTTTGGACTCTGAGTCCTGGGAACTCTTAAACTCAGTAAGGCACACATATATTCACTGCCTACAGCTCGAAGGGATATCAATTTATTTTATGCATTGATTATATTTTGAATGTCTTAGAGGACCTGGTTATTTAAAGGAACCCTGTAAAGGGTATTATTCTTTGAAAAGAAGGATCCTTTTCATAAAGATTTGTGTTCTTAATTTGTACGCAATGGAGAGCATTTGGATAAATTCCCAAGTTTAAATGGTTTATAGGAAATAGAACATGACTCTTCATTCCCTCCTTCTTTCTCAGGATTAGGGCAGGGAGCGTCAGACTGTCAACACAGATTTGAACAGAGAAAAGCTTCTGTATGTTTCCCTATTGATCATTCCAGAAATCTCATTCTTACTTGACTCTGGTGTGGGGCCTAAGATTTTGCATTTCTTACAAGTCCCCAAGTTATGCCAGTTCTTGTTTGGTCACCACGCCCCTGTAGCAAGGGCTTAGAAGACCCTGTGGAGGCATTATAATTCTCAAAAAAAAAAAAAAAAGAGAAAATCAGGTTAGGTATATTTTCATGTTAGCATTGGGCCTTTTAAGAAGCAGTGTGCCTGTTGTTATTCTCTCTGAGAATTTACCACTTAGGCACACAAATAACAATGTAGAACAACACAAAAAATGCTTACATACATAATGGAACTATAAAAGCACTGAACTAATTCCTAACTGAGCAAATAAAGGATAATTAAACCAGCAGCCTAAAGCATCTTGCTCTACTGTTAATAGTATTTATGTGTTTATAACAGTAGTTTTCAACCTTGGCTATGCATTAGAAGCAGTATTTTATAAATAATGAGTCCCAGTGGGTCCCATTCCCAGAGGATTCTTGATTTAGTTGACCTGGCTTGGGGCTTGATCCTCTATATTTTTCAGAAACTTTATAGGAGTTTATGATACAATAATTGGGATTGAGAACCACTGATGGAGAGTTCACAAATGTGTCTCATTTGGTCCTTAATCCTATGAGGTCATGTGCGAGTAAGGAAATGATGTTCCAGAGATGAACCGACTAGGGCTAGGACAGTAGCTAGTGGATGGTAAAGCAGAACCTCACCCCCAGGTTTCTTGATTCCAAAACAAAAAGCCCCATATGGCCCACCTCATCATACATAATGGACTTCTTTTATTCTTAGAGTGAAGTCACATCTACAGGGTACTTGAAGTGTCTCTATTCATGAACAGGCACATCCCAATTCATTTCACTTTTGAGCAGTTTTTTAACCTTAGAAACACAATAACCATTTCTTGGTAGGTGATAGATAAATATAAGACAGTTCATTCCCCACCCTGCCAAATCATGGACATAGCCCAGTAGGAGAGGTAAGACTTCTACACAACTGTCATGTCTAAATCAGTGCATGTCTTTAGCTACATTAATAGCTCAGAGCAGAGAACTAAGGTGGTCTTCCAGGAGGGCTTCCTGGAGGAGGTAGCATTTGAGCTATGTCTTTAGAGTTGGCATTTTGACAGGTGAAGATTTGGAAGAAACTTCAGTATTGAAGATTCAAGGTCATGAGACACATATAAAGAGGCATTGAGAACAGGGGGAATTCCAAAATGGCCAGTAACATGATCAAAACTGCTCAAAGAGGAATATTTGAGAATGGAACTGAGTTTAGAGAAGACTGGAGTTCAGGGGATGAGGTAGGAGAGTTTGGCCCTGGTTACCATGAAAGGGTAGGAAGACCTAAAGGAGGCCCTAGTGAAAACTAGGGAGGCCTACCTGAAGGGCACTGCAGAAATGGAATCAGGCTAGGCAGTTGATTGCTTTGGTTGGTGAGGAGTGGTAAGGTTTTTAAGCAAGATGCCTGAAATAATGATACTGCTGATGGAAACAGAGAAAGAAAGGATATATTTCTGACTCTCCTCTGTTCTAGGAGAGGCCTGGACACAAAATAGTGCAATTGTCAAGTACAGCCTGAAATGCCAGCACCCCCACCTATCTCCTCTTTGTTCTGACTTCTGCCTCTTCAGCTGCCAATGCTGCCTCTTCTACTCATTCACCTGACATTTTAACCTCTCCCTGCGGAGTCCTTGTCACTCCACTCATTTGGTGCTGCCTCTGCCATCAATACCCCCATCACAGCTGGTGGTGCATCAGTCATCATCTCTTATAATAACATTTCACTAGAAAGATCAGACAAAGTTTTTTCTTTACTTTGAACTTTAACTCTTCCGTGGACAGTTGGCATCCACATGAAATCTTTTTTTTCATGTCCCATACTATAGAAAGAAGCATTGACTGAGAGGGGCAGTTAACCCTAATAATAGTTTTTTTTAAATTATTTTTGCATAGAAGAACTAGGGTGTAGGCCAGAGGTGTTGGGGGGTGAGAGGATTCACCAGAAATAAGTGGGGAGCAGAACAGATGGATTTACTGAAATACACTGCCAAGGGGAGCAGCAGGTGAGATAGGAGAGGTCTGCTGCGTCATATATGGGTTAGCTCCCTGGTGGGGATCGAACTCAGGCTGTAGAACTCAGGTTGAGTCTTAACCCCTAGGCCATTAGGGAGGCCCCCTAACCCTAATAATACTATGCCTATTGATACTATTATTATGTATTATATTTTACCTATGCCTATTACATAAATAATAGTATGCCTATTACAGCCTTTTATAAAATCCAAACACAAAATTCTACTGTATTATGAATCAAATATTTTAGAAAATTTCAGGAAAAGCTTAAAATGCATTTGCATTTTTTTTTTTTATACAAGAAAGAGAACAGAGGAAGGGAGGTAGCACAGTGGGAGGGTGCACTGAGTCGCCAACAGCCTCTGCCTTGTCAGGTCAATTACATCAGTACTTGGTCTGAAGCAGGGGAGAGAAAGGAATGGTTCTGCCTCCTGGGAATGTCAGAAAGATCTGATAATTATATTTGGCAAAGCCACAAGAAGTGGCTCTGTAATGTTATTGCTTAGCATTACCCTTCTAATGTCATTTCTGGATGTCTAAGCTTTTCAAATGGAGTGACACTTCTTTAATGCTGTGGCTTTCCTTTCATGTTGGGCTGCTGCTTCTCTGGTCCTCTTGTTCTTCCTCACCTTTGCTTTGATCTCAGTACCTATCTTCTCGTCTGTCTTCCTCCTTCCCAGCCCTGTTTTCCTCCCACTCCTTCTGCACCCACAGCAGCTTCCACGCTTCCGGGTTTTAGAGCTGGAGTCGTGTGAGTTGTGAGGGAAGCACTTGCCAAAGGCCAACATACTCATCTGACATCAACAGTGTGAAGCGTAACCTTAGCCTGACCAGTCTGTTCACAACTTGCTTCTGAGCTGCCTCTGTTACTTTCATGTTGGGAGGGTGCAGAAGGCATGGGAGAGGTTCCCTGGGACCCCTGATTGCCACGAACTCTTTTCTAATTGTGCCAGATGCTATGGCCTTCAACAAATTTACTAATCTCTGCCTCAGTTTCTCCATCTGTGAAAGTGGTGTAATACTTATCTACCTCCCTTGAACGTTGTGAAGATTAGTCTTATGTTAGTAAAACACTTTTGAAATAAAGAGTGCTGTAAAGAATTTTAACATTGTCGTCATTATAATGGGGATGCCCTCCTGGAGAGTTGCTGCCCTTGGGGGAAGTAGCCCAGGTATTCCAGGGTTTAGGAACACACAGGATAGAATACTTCCATCACAGATATGAGTGTGATTATTTTCCTTTATGGAAAATTTCAATATAGCATTTCCTCAAACAGCTATTTGGTGCTTTTAGAATGAGTTTCACTTTATAGAAGAGTAACTT